TCCATTGTAATATTTACGCTAACCCAAATTCAAATAGTAAATATTTCATTTCAACCAAGTCAGTAAATAATGTTTGTAGCACACGTTTCACGTTTCCTTAAATTGCGACTAAAATATTGACGTAATTAAATTATACAGCTGATCATAATGTAAACAAATGTGTTCTTCAAAAGGATTACATGGTTACTTTAAAAGCCACTGGGGCAGATGTAAGGTCAGTTTGCAAATCTACACACCCAGACGAACATTTTGGTATATAATATGTGGGGTTAAATCTTAAAACAAAAAGGCCTTATTGTTCACAAAGTTTCATGTAGCGTATTAATAATATAGATATGGCAAAACATAATCGAACTCAAGCGTCATTATGGAGTTTTATGTTGGGGAAAACCAAATTAATGTTCAGAGACGATTTAAAAACTAACTTTTTAGACACTAACCCCTAATATGGATTCATTAGGGACTACACTCAGCACTTTGATTGTTACCAATAATAATATACTGTCCACTAAAGTTTTACAACACACTTTTTCGCAAGACAATTTTAAAACACAATGTTCCCTAGGGGACAAATACTTGCCCAAGTTTACCCTCTATCCACAATATTGTCCCTGGAGAAGATTCTTTACAAGGCCTTGGGCTATATCTTTCTTTACGTCTTTCTACCCTGACTATTACACATTTTGGTGTCACATTCCAAGTTGTGTTAGTCTTGTAAAATCATTGTTGTTTCACACCTAAAAATAATTCATTCTGCACCAAGAAACAGTATGAGAAAATAAATTTGGAACTGATTTGGGAAGAAAAAGAAATCGAAGAATGCACAATTGTTGAATTAGAAGAAACATTTATTTCAATTTCGTTTTGGTTGGATGGAAATATATCACGATAGAATTCCAAACGTGTGTAGGGTTACGAAGTTCAATAGGTATTCGATATCCAAACAGTTTCAGTCAGACTAAATTGTTTTAACCATTTGCAGATATCAATTTTCGATATCGGTAAACTGGGCTATACAACCATAGATAAAAGGAGTAGACATATTCTTTTAACTATACTATATCTCTTTGTACTATACTCCTTTTATCTATGATACAACGTTGAAGCACGGCTATAAAACCGTGTGTTTTGGCTTTGAATCCTCAAGTAATAAAGAGTTTCCAAATAAAGAATATCTTATGGCATTGTGGTATAATCTAGGACTCATTGCAAAACAAACCCAGTTTTATACTGGTGGGATTCTGAAATAACTTCAAATACGATATATTTTATTTTACAATCGCATTTAAACCAAAGGTCAAGATTACACATGCTACGCAAAAATGTTTTGATAATTGTATGTCAAAGCTTTGCCCTGGCACTGATGTAATATGACTCTAGCGGAAGCAGCTCTAGTCGAAACCATTGTGATGGTTAACAATGTCAATACATAAGTGACATTTTTCACTAGATACTGAGGTGGAAAGGACACTACATTATAATGCTAAAAAAGGCTTGGATTTAAAACACTACCTTATAGAACATCTGACGACAACTTTAAGTTTATAAATATTAGTTTTTACTTTTTGAGTAGCATGTGTAATCTTTGGTATCATTTATCTCTAAATAGGACAAAGTTGATAGCATTATGGGATAAATATAGAAATAAGGATTACAAAACTAATCCATTCCTACCAATTATTTGGTAACCCACAAAAAGTACATCCGGGTTCAGGATTTCTGTTAAATTGCATATCAATCAAAATTAATGAACTAACAGATACAAAATATTCAAATGGAGAGTGGAGGTTTTATTCACAACGACACACAACATAAGGAGCATTAGCATTGTCAGTCTTACGTATCTTAGCTTGGCGCAGACACAATAGCCAAAAAGATGAAACAAAAATTAATCCTGGACCCTCTGAAGGGGGAGTGGCGAACACCACTTTTAGACAAATCAGTTGAAGCACCCTCTCACTCTCCATCTCTCTCTCTCTAGGCCGGAATTACACCCCTGATCACATGACCTTCGCTTCACCCTTCCCTTCACCACCATCCTCAATCCAGGGTGAGCATTGCCGGTCAAGGATCCCTCCAGGGATACCAAAACTCGTAAAGTTAGGTTTGGTAAAACCACGGATATTTTCTAATTATCGAACAGGATCGGGAATTTATGCTTTACAGAGGAATTCTTGCAGGCACGTTCAGTCAAAGATTATTAAGATAACAATAATGTCAATGTAATGTTCACAATATTCTGATTACGTCTTTATGTAGAAGGGGATAACATGACACGGCAAAACTTGTGTTTTGCTGAGTGAAAAAAGTGGTAAGTGGGACTAATAATAATTCTAATACCTCCTCTTACCGTCTACAATCAACAAAGAATTTAAATGTGTGTTATTACTATTACTAAAACAATGACAAGTGTTCAACGGATATTACCTGTAGCACTACTGTCATACTTTAATAGGCATTGCAGCTTGATAATTTTTAAGCTTTGATTATTATCAGTTGATTCATCAAATACTACATATGGAAACTTTAAATTCTCCATTCAATAATCAATGGTAAAATCTTCAATACATTTATTGTGAAAGTAACAAAAAAGTGGAATTTTTTATTGGAACCCTGAGACGCACGAGTAAGGGACCTATCGATGGTAGGGACCTACTCTACGAAACCATTATCACTATACACTATGAATGGTTTACATAGTCTGGTTTATAGTCACCAAAACAAAACACTCAAGACGGTTCAGATTCTTTACGCCTACGAGACTTGTTAGATCTGGAATAGTTCAAGATTGAATACTGCATTGCATACATCCAACATTGAAGGTTTTGCCGTGTGTCCTATTTCGACCAGGTATAGTGTTTGTGTGCGACTAAATACACGACACGGGACAGGTGAGGAACTTCCCCTCACAACACGTAGGCCAGATGCAATTGGGTTATGTAATATTTCAGCCTACACGAAATACTGCAGTGCCTTCTTCGGTGGCAAAATTATTTGTTGTTATGTTACACAATTGACACAAAAACTGCTTAACAATTACACTAATAAATTATCTTTTGCGTATTGTTAACCATGAATAAGATAACAGTAAAGGAAGACGTTCAAGGCATGTGTTTACAGGTTTCTATGGCATTGATTTTGAAATATTAAACGTCATTACAGAACTGTGTATGTCTTGTGCGACACAATGATATAACCTCCATTTCCTCACGTGCATTCTAAACTACGTGCATGGGCAAGGTAGGTGTGGCGGGATTGTAAACAAAACAACCCACAACTTGAAATACATCCAGCAATTTATTTTCAAATATCTACAGTATCATGCTCTATTGCGACTGCTACAATGAGACTCAATAATCAAATTTACCCAAGCTTGTTTCTGAGGATCGCACGAAACTTTGTTACTGACACAACAGAAGAAGCACGCACTCTGCGACAAACACAACCTAACCCCCATGTGCTCGGGTACAGTCGGGTACGAAAATTGTGTAAACCCTCTCAAAACCTAGCCCAGTGTCCAAACCGGCCGGCAGGTCAAGGGGCACTGACATCTCGACACGCAGAACACCTGTCCTACGTCAAGAATTGGTAAAACAATCATACATAATTGACGTAATCAATGGTCAGTGCTATAGTGAGGTGAGCCGACTGTACCGTAGTAGCGAGTGCAGCGCTAGTGGCGGCGCGCGGCGGGACTACGAGCGTCAATAGTGCTGGTAGTTCCCGAGTTTGCTGCTAGTGTCGCCACCTGCCGGACGTTGTATCGAGCCGTCACGTGACCCAGCCTGGGCGAGATGTAAACAAAGGAGAATTTCCATCGTTGTCATTATTCCAATTGAGGTTAAAGTCGAAACTAGTTGCAACGCTGTGATAAGCGTGATAAACACCACTCTAGTTGCAACTGTTATCTATAGTCAATGATACTACAACTGGGGTGTTTACGCCAAACAATTTAAGACCCGTCAGTCAGGTATTTGGCAGCGTCCCAGTCACCCACTGAAAGTGCTCGGAAAATTTCGGACGAGACTAACAATGGCCGGGACCTGAAATTTACTTCAAAACCTGCAGATTTTAAAACTTGGTTTTTACATAGAATAGTTCATACGATTAATGATTTGTACAAAATTAATTTAATTTTTCTATTTTCTTAAATTAATTTATGCTCGTAAATCGTTGATAAAACCCAAAAATTAATGTCGGTGGATTGACTAAATGGGGACGCAATTTAAATACTACATGATTTCGCAAAACTTAAAATGTAGACTGCTAGTACTGGTTCACCAATGTCACTATAACATTGAGAATAGACTTATCCTCATTACAATAAAATAGCTTATCTTTCGAGAGAAAATCATGAAGGTGTTACGGAAATTTCGGGAAAATAACTAACTTATCTTGATCAAGTCGAAAAAAACATCATGTTAATTTCAATAGTGGGAGAGGATATTCCTACAATTTGGTATTTTCTTTAGTTAATCATTACGGTTAATATTGCGATTTAAAACATGATATTAATTTAAAAGAGGGCTGACAATTTTATCCTTACATTCAGAAAAAATAAAGTAAATGATAAAATAATTAATTTCATAAGTTTATGAAAAATGACACTTTAGTGACAACTTTATGAATAACTTATTTACGTCCTCTCAATAAAATGTACAGTAATTCATCAAAGTTTATAGCAGACGGAGAAGGCTTTCTCGCGAATGAATCGTGAAAATTACATAGCTGGGAATGATCTCTTAAGATCATACCGTACCGTAATGTCTCCAGTTTCGAAGATTACCTAACTATAAAAAACAGATCGTAGATAGCTTTCCCTGGGAACTGGGAAGATACCAAGGTTGTTAACGCGATTCAATGTTCACAGCATTTAAAATAAACTATACAATATTTGAAACACTATTATTACTCAGAAGATAAGTACAAACTCCTTGTAAAATAATAACATATTTTATAATAATAACATATTTTCTATTATGCAAAGTGTTGCGACTCACCCTTTTCCGTCGGACCGTATCCGGGTCGGCGCGTCGCACCCAAATCTCCTCGGTAGAATCGTTATCCAGGGTGGACGTGGAAGACGCCTGCGACTTCATCTCGATCATGCTGGAGTCGAAGAACCGTTTATCCAGGTGGGGCGAAGTCCCCCGACTCATCGTGCGCGGGGACAGAGGCGGTGTGTCCGGGGTAAGGGAAGGGTTCCTCTTCGGGGTCGGTGGCGCTGAAGAAACAGGCGACGTTTCTTCTTTGCTTTCTTTGGATTCCGCTTTGGATTCGTCCTTGGATTCATCCTTGGACTCGTCCTTGGACTCATCTTTGGACTCGTCTTTGGAATCCTCGTCGTCCGACGTGGTAGCAGACGTGGTACTAGAGCTGCTTGAGGATTCCGCTCGTTTATCATGATCCCCATGGTCAGCCACGGTTTCATCCTCCTCCGGACACTCGCTGAGCCGTCGCTCCCACTGGCTCCTGGATGGCAGACGGTTCACGTGATGAAGGAAGTAGTGTTGGAACCACGAAACGTCCTCGGCACTCGTCCTAGAGTCGTGTCCGAGGATTTCCTTGAGGGCCGCAAGGGAGGTGATGGTGTTGTAGTTGATCTGATTGACAAGATCGTCGAAGTCATCGTCCTCTTCGTCACCGTCTTCGGCTGCAGGTGGCGTTTTGTCCCCGTCCCCGGACATCTCTGGAACATACAACATCACAATGAACATTCTGTATGTTTAATCTACCACAGTCAACATCCATCTTCCTAAGCAGAGAGCACAGAATGGAAATTCTATTCTGTGCTCTCTGTTCCTAAGATATCCCTGGTTAGTGGTTGCAAACGTTTAATCATATCTCTTTTCTGAAGCCCCACAACATACCCCACAATTTAAACATCCAGTATAGCGTCTCTATTATGTAAAACAGTCAACATCTACTTTTCTAGCATACACGTAACTCCTGTCTTCAACACGTGCCATACTAAAAGTCAGCCTTTCCACAATCCACCCTGCTACAATGACCATTATAAACCATGCTTTATACCAATTCCTCGCGGTGGAAACATAAGCTACCATTGACAACACATAAAGGTTTTAACTTGTTGATCAAATAGGAAATTTTAAAATACTTTTTGCACTTGGAAACACAGAAATTATCCGAAAAGCAGTGTGAACCTTCAAGGAAAAGATTTTATCTAGGACCACCCTAAAAGATTCTTGGTAGAAACAATTATCATTTAACCAAACAAAACATTCAACTAATATAACAGCCGCTGTACACATTCAGAACACCTTTTACAGATAACTGTACAAGTGAATCTAATTAATCTGAGATCTCCCTGAATCCGTTTAGTTCTAATCAGAGATTACTCCGGTACAGTAATTAATTACAGACATTTGTTCACTGATTGTATGAGCTAAACTGCAATTAATTACCACTCCTTGTTTTACATTGTGCAGTTGAATGAGCTTAGCATTGTGCAAGAGGGGTAAGCTTTGATATATTAACAATCTTTACCTATCACTTCATTTAAGCATGTATAATCAGTCAGTGCAAGGTTCTGTATAATATAATAGGACTGGGACCGTGGCGTCTTTCTGTAATCCAGCTACAAGGAGGTCACGAATTGTGGATATTTATAGGCATGCACTGTGGATGCGACACTCCCTGGTGTGGATTAACGCCCGCACTTGTGAGTACTACGACTATCCGCAGTACTATACTGAAAATTAAACCAATTAGTTAATACCAAGGCAAAAATGTGGTTCAGATTCCACTATAAACTGTAGGTACCTTAGTTGCCATTAGCTGTATGGGCTATTAATTCACAGCTGTGTCTAAGATGTATGTCGGCCTTAGTCACTAACAAGACTACAAGATCACGCCACTCATCTCCATTCATACTTGGCTTTTAACCTACTTTCAATGAAAAGTATAAAGTACATAATTTTGTTTTATCTGATAAAAAATTATTTTTGTATTAAAACCTTGGGTATCAATAGACAGTTTGAAATCTCAACAATCGACACTAATTGACTAAACAACTTGTTGCATAAACATGTTGCTCTGGCATGAAAATGTAATATGTCCGTGCCATAACCGTTGCTGACTTGTTTATTCAAACAAGAACGTTTGGCAAAGTTTGGTAAACCTCACGCCGTAAACTTCCTGAATAGCAAACATTGTATACTTGGCTGACTCGCTATCACATCGTCCCACATTAGCTGTCGAGGAAAACAACAACAAAGAAACAGGGAACGACTTTATCAATAGTATTTATTTGTTATAGGTAATGGATACTTATACTATTAACCATAGACCATTATTGGGAGTTGCTTTTTTACACTATAACATTTGGAAGAGGTGACAAAGCAAATGTGAATTAAACCTTAAAAAATAATAAAAATAGACAAGTTTTCATATTGTTGTTTAAAAGCTTAAAACTATGTCTAGTAATATAACAACACATTTGTTAACTGTAACTTGGCTTCTGGTGTTTTAGCAAAAAGGTAAAGCACAAATGGCAAAAGCTACTAAAAATAAATATGAACAGTACAAGCAAACTACATACATACTTTCTCCCAATCGCTACATAATAATAATAAATAACTATTTCCACATTAATCTGTCGTGAGCAGAAACGGAGGGGGAGATAACTGGGATTTTATGAGGAAATCACAAAAATTGCAATAACATGTGTACAGTTATTTATACAGCGTTGGGGTTGTGCTATTTTTTTTAATCAATTGATTGACGGTTAAAGAACACACATTAAAACAGAAACATGATTTACAAACCACGATTATACAGTACAATAGGATTTTAAAGTATTTTCCAATATCATAGAATTATGGTTTAGCTAAGAGGTGTCATTGTTGGTGTCAAATGAAGAATGCTAGGCCTAGCTGAAATGAAGATGGTAGTGCTAGTAGAATTTTGTTGTTTGTGTTTAAATGTAGGCAACAACTGTAAAAATTGTCAATCAAATCAGTAATATTCACTGAGGGAAGCTTATTAATATTGCATAAATTCCCTCGATATTTAGAGTGAACTGAGTTTCTATTGACGACTTCGCGTAATCCTGTTGAAAACCCTATTACTGATTCCAGAGTACGGTACAGTATTGCTATATCACAGCTGATAAGGCTTTAAATACCTGTCACCATCACTATATTCATTATGAATTTTTCGGATCAAAACCTATGATACTGCAAGTAGTTATCTTAACGTACTTTAAATCCATAAATTGTAGTGTTTTGTTCATGTCTGGCACGTTAAAAAGCTGATGGAAAATAAATGTACCCTCTTTTTCAAGGGTCATTTAGTGCATTGTGCTCTTAGCATTTTTGTTACAATAACATATACGATAAGGGATTTTAAAAAAGCATTGTTTTTGGCTCATATAGATAACATTCAAAATAACAATTAGCAAACAATAGAACGTTCTCAACCACAATAACTGGACTGTAATAAATTACATCTATTTTTAGTCGATCCATAAGGAATATAAATCTATTGGCTTGACACCAGAGACTGTTGAAAAGTCGCATTACTCTTGAGTCTCTATATGAAAATCAACCGTCAACAAACAAGACATCCACTCTGGCAACAAAACAACTTTAAATAGAACGCATTAAAAATAAGTGCAATTTGGTCCAATAGTTATCAAGCGAATTAAACATCAGAAAGCTCCCCAAATGTGTTGGTAAGGAGCCTGAAACCTTAAAATAATTTTAGGTTGAATTTAAACTGAGAGGAAGTCCTAGCACTTCTAGAAGTGCTCAAACATTTGTTTACCTGAGTCAGCTATAAAAGAGTATATAATTTAGATATTCCTTCTAAGATTAAACATATTCTTATATTTGTAGATTTGTCTCAGTTTATCAGCTTAAGACGATTTTAAATAGTTCAATCCGCTTGAGGTATGCCCAGTAGGACCATGACAAACGAAAGTTCTTACAAAACTTTAATGAGATATTAAAAATTCCGGTGTTTGGAGTAGGCCTACTCCCAAAAAAATTACGTAAAAACGCCATTATACACATTTTAGGTGGAGGTTCCAGCATAAAATAAATTATCAACAATTTATGGTATTAAAAATTTACTCGTTGATATTTACATAAACATTATGATTGATTTCGAGCGGAATATCTGTAAGTGTCCAGTGCATGTAAAACTACAATAATATAACATTTTATAACAGCGCTACGACAAACATAGACTCAGCTAGTAACAATATTTCCTAGGTATGCTTGCTGATACGCCTATCCGCTTGGGTTTCAGAAGATAAGCCACTTGCGTCACTTACCTAACTAGCCACAATAACAAAATACGATAATACTACACAACTAGTTTTAAAGAAGATTTCCTACCTTCGCAAAAGTATGATGAAATTGAAGTTACCTGTGTCTGTGTGTATGTCTTTTTCACCACCATTCAATTCTTTTACTACTGGTCCAATTAAATTGAAATTTCACAAAAACATCAAGCAGATTATTATAGGAGTAGCTTGATACATCTTCGACTATAAGGTTTTATCAAAAGGTTTTGCCCAAGCGAAAATTCCAGGCGGGGCTTTGGAAATTAAGCATCGAGTCGTCTAAATTGCGTCAATAACAAACGCAGCAATTTATAACTTACTTTGGAGTTGTTTACTTTTTACCAAACCAGATTTAATAATTTGTATTTTTTAATAACACGCAGCTGATTTTAACAAATAAAATAAGATATTTTGATACCTAAGTGTTTACTTATTCTATGGCGATATCATTGATTAAAGAATTTCCGTAGCGTTCTATCTCCATCATGATTAAGAGTGAAGTAGACAGCAGTGCACTTGTAGGTTTACTAATTTATGGTTCTATAATCCATAACAATGCCATCCATAGTAATGGTAACTGTTGTTCGCAATAGTTTTAAAATGGCTTTAAAAGGATATATTCTAGATTCTATGGCAATATCATTGATTAAAGAATATCTGTAGCATTCTATCAAACATTAAAGGTGAGTAGACAGCAGTGCAGTACAGTAGTAGGTTTACTCATTTAAACTATAGTTCTATAATTAATAGTGATGGGAACTGTTGTTCACAATAGTTGTAAAAAGGCTTCAAAAGGATATATTCTAGGTCCATAAACCACCATAGCTTGATACGAGTCAAGTTTGATACGAGTTACGTTTCTTGTAAGGGAATTAAAACGCTGATATTGCTACTATCTATCGTTAAAAATTGTATTAACAGACTCATTTACTGATAGCCCAAATAGACCTGGGTTAAGCATCGAACTCGATTAGGATCGAACCGGCAATTCTTCAATGAAGAAGGCGAGAGCTATAACCACACAGGTACACAAACAATAATTACATAATACTAGATACTAAACATTACTTACATTATGATCAGATGGATAATTTAATTGCTGTAATTATTTTTGTTGCCATTTGTGGAAACGTGAGCTACAAACATTTACTGAATTGGTTGAAATGTAATATTTGCTATTTCAATTTGGGTTGGCGTAAATATTACATTGGAAAAAAGTGAGAGAGCCTGGATAATTTGATACACTTAAAAGAAAACTAAATTAACACTGTGCTGCATTTCTTGAACAATCATTGAAAGATATGGAAGGAAAGATCATAGGAAAGTCATATAACACCACCTAGTAGAAGAAATAGAAATAGTGTGTTTTATTATTATTT